GGACACGGGACAAATTGTTATAAATCGTGACTGTTCCGCTGAAATTGGGACGTCTGGTCACCTTAGCTGTGGGACCTGTAGCCCTTCAGAATGTTTCTGAATTGTACCAGTGCCCCTCAACATCAGTAGATGGAAAAGTGCAGCTCAGCAAGATTTGGAGGGCCAAATTTTCTACTTCCTTGATGGAAGCAAATACTGTTATCACACTGGTATCAGTGAAGTAGTCAAAGTAACTACTGTACCTAGTATAGTCCTGCTTTAAGGTAAAGGTAAAGGTTCACCTTGTTCCCGACTCTAGGGGGCAGTGCTCATCTCCGTTTCAAAGCCGAAGGGTCAGCGCTGTCTGAAGACTTCTCCATGGTCATGTGGCCGGCATGACTAAACACTGAAGGCACACGGAACACTGTTACCTTCCCACCATAGGTGGTTCCTATTTTTCTACTTGCATTTTTACATGCTTTCGAACTGCTAGGTTGGCAGAAGCTGGGACAAGTAATGGGAGCTCACCTCTTTATGTGGCGCTAAGGATTCGACCCACCAAACTGCCAACCTTTCTGATCAACAAGCTCAGTGTCTTAGCCACTGAGCTGCCACGTCCCCATGTCTTGCTTTAGGGAAATGGAAATCATCAGTATGTTTTCAAATTTGTTCTTCAGTGTTTTCCAAAAATAGAATTTTCTGGGCAAAAGAATCACATTTCTGCAAGTAAGACAATTCTTGTCCATGCATCAAACCACTGCATTATTCCTAGGAGTTTTAGGAAGAAATAACATCACTATAAATTGATTCTTAACAGCCTGATATCATTAAAAAAATTAGTAATAAATTGTCTAGAGCTTTCACAGAAAATGTCAAATGATACACCAAGTTCTTAACTATTGGAGGACTTTTTAAAAAAAATGAAAAGTGATGAGAAAACTGTCACCCATTCTAATTACATACTCCAATACCACATAGCTGTACTTGTTGGATCTGTAAAATATTGGCTTGTTATCCAATATATGGTCAGACCAAGATATTACAATCTTGTTGTACTAGTTAGGAAATTCTGAGGTTCAAATCCATGCATCTTAAAATAGCTGAGACTGAAAAACGTGGACTTAAATGACATTCAAGATTTTCCCTGAAGTCTTCAGTCTCCTCCTCCAAAAATGGAACCTAGCAGCAGACACACTCAAGGATTGTGCTTCCCTCGCAATAGACAATAGCATTTTTGTACCTCAATGCAGTTCTGTTCATTGCACATCCTCTCCATTGTGTAAAGGAGACACAACTATTTTAAATAGCCACCCAGAGTCAGCAAATAAACGTACCCGTAATAAATAAACAAAGAATACTGGTCACACTATCTTTAAAATTTATTTTTTATGAACTTCACATTTCTAAAAGTGTATTACATTGTAAAATATACAAACGTGTTCCAAACAATCCAAAAAAGACTGTAAAGGGATGATGAAATCCCCTGTTCTCCCACTGTTTAGGCTTTCCTCACCAGATTTAGCAAGGAGGACATACTCTGTGTCCAGGGGTGGGTTCCTGTGCTGGTTGGTACTGGTTCACTGGTGATTCTGCGACCAAGGCAAAATCACAACTATTGATTTGGCCGAACCAGAAGGAACTCACTCTGTCTGGGTCCCTTCCATTAAACAGTGTCACCTTGTTGGAGGCAAGAATCCTGCCTTCTCTTGCAGTGTTTGCTTTGTGTAACGGCATCCCTGTGGAAATGCAAATGGTCCTGGTCCTTTTAGCCCTTCATAAGGTTCTGTAAACCTGGCTGTTTCCAAGTTTCCAGGCCAGGAAGTCAGTCAAGTTCTGTTAATGTGATTGGATGATTGAAAGGTATCATTTACCTTGAAGTTTGTGGGCTGTTATTTTTAACGATTTGGTTTTTAATCTAGGCCACCTGCTCAGAGTCAATCATTGTGCAATGGGAGGTCATATAAATTATATAAACCCTTAAAAAAACATGGAGCAAAATAATCTGGCCTGCTGCTAGGTACTCTTCTGTCCATAAGGTTTTAGGTTTTTTTTGTTAATGTCAGTGTAGCACTGATAATTTTGTGTATAAATATAATTAAACATTCAGGACAATCTTTGCATATTACATAGGTGCATTTCCAAAATACATCTAAAATGCTAAAATAGGCAGAAGAGAGAATGCTATCCAAAATATTTGTTCTTATAATAACTGTTACCTACTCTTCACATTAATCACCTAAAAGAGTCATAGAGCCAGCTTTTTAAAAAGCAAATCTACCATTGAGACTACTTTACTAGTCTCTCAACACCTTGCAGCCAGAATAGAGTGCAATAGAATGGCTCAAGGTGGTGAATAAACTGGATGAAATTGAAGGAACATGATCATTGCTTTTGGGATGCAAGAATGGTAACAGTGATATGTATTTTTGAAATGTATTTCATCCCACTACACTGTAGGTAAGCTTTACTTAACCAAGCAGCCTGTGAAATAATGGAATCATTTAGTATCTGAAGGGCAACAGATTTTGAAATCCATTTTTCCTAACACAGTGTCTCCATATCAACCTGGGAAACTTTTCTGGGAGTTGAAGTCAACACATCTTAAAATTGCCCAGGTTGAGAAACATCATTCCAGATATTTTGGGCTACAACATTCAACACTTTGCAACTATCAAAAGCCACACTGATTGAGAGAATTCTAGGCTTAGCATGTCTTGAGGACACTAGATTGGGAAAACACTGTTGTTCAGGAAAAATAAATAGAGGTAGTCCTCAATTTACAACTATTTGTTTAGTGACCATTCAAAGTTACAACAGCATTGAAAAGAATGATTTATGGCCGTTTTTCACACTTACAACCATTGCAGCATCTCTATGCTCACATGATCAAAATTCGGAAACTTGGCAACTGCTTCATTTTTATGATGATTGCAGTGTCCCAAGATCATGTGATCGCCTTTTGTGACCTTCTGACAAGCAAAATCAAATAGGGAAGCTAGATTTGCTTAACAAATGTGTTGCTAATGACACCTGCAGTAATTCACTTAACAACTGTAACAAGAAAGGTCTTAAAATGGGCAAAGCTCACTTCAGAACTGTCTCGCTTGTGGTGGTAGTGTAGAAGACTATTTGGGTGCTCATTCAGTGGTGGTGTCCTCCTCTAAATGGTGAGGAGGAACAAGAGAAAAATCAGCTGAGTTTACAATGTATTTGGAATCATTTGTAAATCAAACAGATTTATGGTATGGCAGGATTCAAAGAAAGGATGGTGATTAGGAAAAAGTACAGTACTGTTATTTTCTGTTTCTTTCAGAAAAGGGATAAGCCCTCCCATTTTCTGTTACAATAGCTTGGACAGTCATCAAATATGTGTCCAAAGAATTACACTTAATGTCTTTTGCACGTGGTTTACCAAAAACCAAATAGAAGCACAGCTTTGCTTCCAACAAAAATATTTAATTTATGTGAAATATAGCAAATAATGTTTAATAAACTTTTTGTTTCTGGTTAGGAGTTATTCTAGGAGTGACCCTCAGATACTATCAGAGAAACATCTGGTTATTCTCCTTCTCTATTGTCCTTCAGAGTTCAATGTCCATCAACTTGATGCCTTTCAACAGTGTTTAAATTTCATCTCCCACCATCAGCATTGAAATTAGGGATGATGGATTTCAATCAAGTATATTTGGAGTTTATCTCATAGAAGAAGATAGTGTGATTTTAGTTTAATAACCTTTCAGAAATAAACAATATTGTTAACGTCAGTAGACTGATCAGTAATCTATTCTCCCCCCCTTTTTATTATTCTGTAATCCCTTGTTTAGGGTGAGGTCTGGGAGATTGAGAAGAGTTGAGCATTTACAGGCCAGACACCCTTCCTGATGCCTACTCAGAGTTCACAGCAGCTATTTTTTCTTTGCACCCTGATAAAGAAACATCTGTGAGCCGAGCATGTTCACCTCTCAGCTACTGCACCACTCAGCAATCTATTCATTTATTACTTGCAAATGAATGGCTTATGTATAAAGGATTTTTCTTTACAAAAAGTTTAGGAATGTTTAGAAATGGTTGTGAGAGTTTGAGCTGATGATTCTCTTCTGATTCATCTTGACCTATTTTATGTTTTCCATAAATGAAGCAAAAAACCTATTCTATACAAAGGATCAGGAATCTGAGCCAATATGAATATTGCTGTTTATCTTAGAGATATGTACCAAGAATTTCTTAGCATAAAAATGAGCATGGAAAGGATTATCTGAGGAACATTTGAAAGCCACTATATTAAGACAGATTTCTCCAATCTATTATCCTCTAAAAAGGTTGAGATGGAACTTCATAGGTTTTGCTGGCTGTGAATAATGGGAGCTAGTCTACTGAATTGAAGTACTGGCTTAATACATCGTAAAGTGGTGAGAATATTTTTCTTATGGCTTGAGATGAAAATTGATATTCTATAAAGTGTTGCCAATGTGTGTTGTGATTATCCTATTAAAAAGAATCATGCAAAATGTGAATCACCACCATATACTATACATCTGCTATCAATGGTTGTAGGAATATCCCCGCTGTTCCAAATACACAGAGAATTATGAACACCCACAGAAATACTCTATCGATTACCATGGCGACATATTTCCAGTCATCTTCTACCTGCAATGCATAAGAAAATACATATATATTCAATTGAATTCATAATATTTAATTGATACTATTACAATGACTGTGCTTTCTGAGATTTCTCAATTATTTACCCCCCAAAAAGATACATTTAGAATCTTCATATAGATTCATACATAGAACATTTGCTGGTGTAATCACAGGTCACAAGTTAGAATCATTGTATATATTTATATAACAACAACAACAACAACAACAACAACAATAATAATAATAAATAAATAAATAAATAAAAAACAGCAACAAACTGGTGGGAACATCAGCCTGAAAAAGTCACTGAAAATGAGATGGTCAAGATCTTGTGGGATTTTCGCATACAAACAGATAAAATACTGGCGCATAATGCACCAGACATCACATTGG